AAACATAAATTGCCTTTGGTTTGAACAACAGAAAACACGTTTTCTTACATTTATCAATTTGGAATTTGTCGTTGTCTTCTAGTTTAATCTTTAAAACTTTCTTTTTAAGGTCGTAAAAGAAAAAGTCAAATAAATTGAAGTGTTATTAGAGAAGCTATATGAATTATTTATAATACGTAAATATATTTTGACATTAAGTCTAATGAGAAGGAATCCTTATCGTAACATTTGAGGGTTTTCAGATACAGTCGAGTAAATATTTTTTACGATGGCTATATATCGCACTGGGAGATATTCTTTTTCGATTTAATCTGTCATTTTATATTTTTTATTTCTTAATCTGTACGTTTCAACAGATGAATTTTCCTTAAATGGTTAAGGAGGCAACGTCTCTATGATATCAATGATAATGCGTTGTCTATATTACGTAAAAAAAACTTTTCACAAACTGTTATATCGATAACGGCAAATAATTTCCACGTTTAACTTAGTTGTATGCGTAAATCCAGTTACAATCCTTTATGTGCCATGCTGCTTAACCGACATTTATACCCTAAATTTCTTTTTTGTTTTCAAAGTATGATAACCAATATAACACATACAACAGAATATAACACAATGATATAATTTTGTGAATAAACATACTAAATTGTCTACACTGGTCGGGAGAGGTAACGATTTTGTAATGCTGTTTTAATCTACCAATGTTTGAGCAAAAATTGAATTAGGTTAATAAACATACACTATTATACTTTTTGTATCTTTTATTGTTTTGTGTCAAAGAATATTACATATTTTTCTTTTATTTGTATTTATGAAATCATCTACCATCGCCCTTATCTCGAAGTCCATCAAAAGCAAATGTCGTGATAAAGGTATTTCAAAAAATAGAGTGAATTATGCATCGAAGACACTAGAATTTAAACGGTTTTTTGGTCCACACCTTTATCATATCAGATATAATTAATTACTAATCCATTGTCTGTACTTGTTGGGACTCTTTCTGCATGTAAAAATATGTAAACATGACAATTTTTATAGGTTAAAGTTGTTTTTAACATGAACAATAAAGATGAAAGATGGAAGATTATTACAATTTCCACACACCCGTTATATACCGTAACATTAATACGTCATACTTTCAGACATTTTCATTATTCGCTTGCCACATCATGTTTCTAAAACTTCAGTTTGCAGTATAATATTCACAATTTGAATTATGTCTCAGGTTATGACACAAAATGTAATCCAATGAAACTTAGTCCTATTAAATATTTTGTGGATCATGTTTATGTACATATTTCAAAGATTTTCATATTGTTCGCGGTCAAATTAAATATCTCCATTTCATATTTGCCTAAAAACTAGTCTAGTTATTATTGCTTTAATGATGTCTTCACGCAGCAGATGACAATTCACTTAGTAACAAAGATAATGATTATATTATTTATATTAACGTTTTGGGATTATTTACACAAATAATAGGCACTAAGCACATAAAAATTGAATAAATTTTAAAATATATTTCTTAGAGATATATGAAAAATGATTGTTATAGAGAAGTAAAAACTATATCTAAATTATATTTTTAACACTACATTTTGCTATATTCTACAAGACAATAGTAAGTAGTATGTTATTTTATCTTCATGTTCATATATAAACGATTGCACACTATTCTTTCTTAAGGCGCAGCTAGTTTAAATAACAATGTTTGTAGGATTGATGTGATATTAACTACATCTTGCATTCAATATTGAAAAATATTCACAAAATTTAAAATGTGAATCTTTTTATTTACATATTTATAAATCATAAATTTGTCATTATTAGGTGGTGAACATAGTTTCGGATTATCATTATAATGAGACGTTTGCCAGCATATAATAATCGTCACTTTCTGTAAAATCATTGTACTTAACAATTTAATAATAGAGGAATGCCCATTACTATTATACTAAAAATTGGGGAATATAAACCATCAGACGTTTCTTGGAAGCGCAGTTCTAATTCATGAAATTCATAATTACATTATACATTTGGTGGAAATTTACATAGCGCTTTGAAGTTTCTTTGTAGTATCATGTTGTAAATTATCAAAATGTTAGCTCCAAATTCTGATGAAACATTTTGTACTTGTTAATGTAACACAATTGAAATATTCATTATAAAATTTTACTAAATTCCTAAAATTCATGAAAAGATATCCTCTAGAATACATAATATTTTTTTTTCTGCGAAACCTTTCTAATTTATACCACAAGAAATTCAGTATTAATGAAAAAATAGCCCTCAATTTAATTTTAAAATAATTAAAGCACCAAATGAATATGATATTCAGGATATGTTGTCTACAAAATTAATATAATGAGGCCAATGTTAAAGCAAGAAATGACGAAAACTATTTTAATTGGAGATATTATTATACAAATGTAAATGAGAAAAAAAGAAAGTATACTTTTTGAATTATTTCTTTGAGGCTCAGACCTCATGGGTCTTATTTTATGTCATTATTGCAGATTTGCACTAAGGACAACGGGTTAATGATTAATGAATTTGTTAAAGCATGTGACCCGAAGCAGTATGAGATTGTTAATTGTTAAATGCCTGCACATTTGTTATGTCCAATGGCTTGGATGCCACTCCTTGTCCTGAATTATAATAAAAAGACATATATTTATATTAAGTGGATCCTGTAATTACTTTACAAAATTTATTATCAAATTGCTAAATTATTTTTGTAGTAGACGGAAATTGAAGTCACGTCACTCAAATTTCGTTGCACATGACAATCGTTCGTGGGATATATGGATACGCCAGCACGGGGGAAATATATAAATATAATGCTTCGCAGCGTCTTTTCGTCCGCTCTCATCAGCATAAGTGAATTATGTGGCTAGAGGGTCAATAGATAACTGTTTTTTTCTCTTTGATGTCATTCATTCCGTAATGTTTTACGTGGCTATTTTCTTTAGTATGGCTGAAAAGAACAATAGAGAGAACAATAGAGTTGTCACATTTATTGATTTAACTATCCACCGAAAAACAGCTAACGCAGTTTACCGTCACGACAATTTAAATTGATATGTGATATTTGGACTCCTCATTAACGGAGGTTAGTGCAGCTCACACCTTGCATTTGATTGGGGTTAAAGAATGATACTACTCTAACCCTGTTACATTATTTTCAGTTATTGCTCTTTGTTATTTTGTATGCTCATTTTTTTCCAGAGCATAACTAAAAATGTCTTTGAGATATCAACATGAAACTACACAGGTTGATAGATCTCACTCAGGAGGTAACAGTGCTTAATAAAGATAACTCATAATTGTTGAACTATTGTCCCTCGTTATTTATTCATACTTACTTATTTTTTTCCAAGTGAAGCATAACTCAAAAAATCTTTGAGATGTCAACGTGGACATATCTTATTAAGAAGGAATGCTGCTGCACAAGAATGATAACCCTAACCTTTATAGTTTTTTTAGTTATTGCCCTTTTTTAATTTCAGTTTGACATTATTGACTGTTTTTTTTAAATTTATTTTTAATTTACCAAAGTCTAGAACAGTTACTTTTTACTGGTCAACAATCGACAGAAAAACTTACTATGGTAACTCACATATTCTAAAATTTTGGTTGCAGAAGTAAACTTGCAAGTGGGGCAACACCAAATTTTCATAGACAGATTCGAAAAGTGTCACTCACTGACAACTAAGAAAATTATAACCGGATTTCGAATCTTCAAGTTTTTGCATTTTTGATGATTTTATTAGAATGCCAACTTAAGGCCTAAGTGTCCGTTTAAAAAAAAATAAAATTTCATTTTATTTTGTTCCGCCTCTTGCTTTCTCGTTTATAACATACACATTTTCAAACTTGGGGACCATACGCCGCTTTATAGATTTGCACATTAAAGATTGAAGATTATATGATACCTGCCGCATGAACACTTTTGCGGATGTTTCTAAATTCCACAGGGGGATCACGTGACTTTGTATAGTAAAACACTACAGTAAAGTATCATTATTTTTTATAAAGTTAGGTGTGAAATGTTTCCTAAATATAAACAAGACCTTTTCTATCATATGCACAGTGACTTTCTGTATATATTAATGTCAAGTGCATTCTCGTATGCTTTATGGTTTTCAGGAACATTGTTTGAATTGTCTCGTGTCACACAATTTAAACAATTTTCTCGAAAACCATAAAACGTTGGACAATGCACATGGTATTTATATTTAAAGAAAGTTACCGTGGACATGATATGCAAGGTCTAGTTTGGATTTAGTAAACGTTTCTCACATAAATTTATAAAAATAATGAACTTACCGAGGCTCAGAAGTCGCCATTACTCGTTTGTATTACTATACAAAGTCACGTGATTCCCCACGTGAACCTAACGTTTTCTGGTTTAAATGCTGAGTTCTGTTTAAGCTGGTTCCAGCGGGAGTGAACGAAAGCTTGCACTTTTAATACCGCCGATGAACATGCTCAATCAAACCAAGCATGCATCATTTTTGATTCCATCGTTTAGGGCGTTCTTAAGGGATTCTTTTATTTCGATTTTCTTTGTCTTATCGCTGCTTTCTGCATGTAGGTAAATGTATGTAAAACATTACACAAGTTTAAGTTGTGCACATTTTTGTAAATAAAAAGAACAGCAAAAAACCCAACAACCATAAAAAATATGTTGTTATATCAAACTACAAAGGAGTGGTATTGAATAACTTCCTGGATTTTGATCATAATAAATTTTATTAGAGAATGACATACTATACATATCAAGTTTCTTTAACCTACAAACAGATGACAATAACTTAAAGATATTGTCCTTAACATAAAATATCAGTTTCTAAAATTAGTCTTGTTGAAAAACCTTGCATAATTTTAGTCTCCACCTCTTTAAATCTTCAAAATCGCCTGAAAAGTCATGTAATGAATATTATAGACATCCGGGTGTTTCTGATGAAGACGTCACGTGACAATTGATAATATTTAAGCAGAGTGTTTCACCAAAATTAAGCGAAAGGATCTTGCAACAGATGACAAAGCACTAAAGTTCAAGTATGAGTGGAATGTTCAGGCTAGTTTTTGCATTGTACCTTGTTTGTTGTGTTGCGACACAGCAAAATTTCAATTGTTACTATGAGGAAAAGTTTTTAGCAAAGGTATACCGCCTGGAATACAGAGTAGAAATGCTGGAAGAAAAAGCCAGTAAAGACGGTAATATTATTAATATAATTTAATTATGGTTACTTTTAATGTAATTATTCCAACGAGATCTTTACTTTTCAGAAGTTATGATTATGATAATTTAAATATGTCATTATAAAAGGTATAAAATAACATACAAAAAGAACAACAAAACAAATCAATATCACTCCAAGCACAGGCGACAGCGGAAATCAAAATGTCAATCTTGAATTCGTGATTTGTGAATTCTTTAACATGCTGGAAGAAAATCAGGAATATGCATGTGTCGGAAAGCCTGTAAAGTAATACGGTATTGATCAATGAACTGTCAAATCTCCTTTTTAAATAGAGGATATTTTGTTTGTTTTGCAAGTAAGATTGAAATGTATTTCACTGAGTGAACACCAGATGCAATATTACGCCACTCGTGAAAATAGAAAAGCTGGTGTTCACGAATGAAATATATTTCAATCTTATATGTAAAAAAATTAAATTTTCTTTCTATTTCATGCTTTTTAAATGATTTTAAGTATTACTGATTTTGCCGCGTAACGTCGTTTATGACGTCGTCACATCATCAAGGGGCAGGACGTGAAGTGGTTGCACACTTGGTATAAGCGAGCGAATTGGTTGCAAACTTGACAAAATGGCGAACACGGCGTGATTTTTTGAAACGGGTGAACGAATTTTTGCCAGGCAAGTGGTTTTCTTTGTTATTTTGAAGTTCATTAGCATGTCTATTCCATAATGCAATATATGCCACACTCGGTTAAAGGTTTCAGTATCCTAGATTCTGTTTTGACGAAGTTATTGAAGATATAAACTGATCATGTAGATATTTTGAAATTTGACATGTGACTGTTGTGGTCGGTTTTTCTTCTAATTTATTCGAATTTGTAAGTTTTGAACTGCATTTAACAATAACAAAATATGTTTCTGTCAATGCTGTACAAATGGTTTAGTTCGCAAGTCTGAAGATAACGTTCAATACACAAAAATATCTTGTTCAAGCACATTTTGGTTGCAGACTTATACTTCAAGCATTTTTGGTTGCAAACCTATTCTTATTATATTAAAATCCATAGTAAAACTTTGCAAAAGGAGTGTAGAAGGTTATATTTATTAACCTTTTTTCAATGGCAATTATTGACATTTATTTTCTGTTACTTGCTTTTCTTATAAATGTTATTTATACTTTCTTCTTTTACAACAATGATGCACTTTATGTTTCAAATTACATGGTTCTCAGTTCAATACTATAATCATCAGTAAAAGCCTGCAAACAAAATAATAGCATATAGAAAAATATTTATTGATACTTCAATTCTAAAATACGTCATCATATGTAAAATGCAAATGAAAACTACATACAAAACAAACGTATGTGAGAGTTCTGTTGTATGTAAGTGAATTATTTTCATCATAAACGTAAGGACGCGTGCACACATACGATGTTACTCGGCAAAATTTCCAAAGTTTATCAAAACCACAAGAAATGTTAATTGTGTTTGTTTCGTATGTAAAGATCAGCAGTTGCTTTAGACATAACGTATGTAAATGTACTTAAAATATTTTTACAAACGAAAAGTTAAAATGACATGCTTGTTTACAATATTCCGGATTTGATGTATATCATATGTCAATTGGTATTCTAAAGATGATTTTGATGATATACGATTGGTTATTTACATTGACTGATACGTGACAAAACTACTTAAAGTCATTGTTCGAGTTAGGGAATTTGGAAGATGTTTCAATTAGTCAATAATAATACCCCGGTCACATATTCACGGAATACGCCCACGGAAGAGCCACGGATTAATTCCGGCATCGTCCGTAGCTACCCGTACTGGTCAGTAGCTCTCCGTATCGTAACCGTAATCAATCGTAGTTGTCCTTGTATATCCGTAGCGATCCTTGACAATTTTTGAACATGCACAAAAATTTGCTACGGAAAAATCAACCGTAGCGTATCCCTACTAGTCCGTATTAATCCGTACTGATACGTACTGGTCCGTACGAAAACCGTAATAGTCCGTACTGATTCGTAGTCCAACAACTTGTCAAGGATTTCCACGGTTTGGTACGGAGAACTACGTATTTGTACGGTTACCCTACGTATAAGGTACGGTTTTAATACGGATTAATACGGCATTGTCACGGAAAACCACGATCGTAATACGTTGTACTACGGTGAGGCAAGGATTAGCACGGTATTATGGACTCGGCCCGGTGAATTTTCGTACTATTAGTTCTATAGTAAATCAGTCAAATTTGAGGTTTAATTCTGGATTCCAATGTTCTTGATGAATTATATACTGTCTTCAACTTTAAACATTAACACTATCTAAGTCAAATGATGCCCAAAATATAATAGGTTAGCCATCTACTTTTTTCAGAAATCTTCATTCTGTTGTAACACTGTTTAAATTCACCACTTTAAAAACTCCTGACAGCTGGTGGGTAGTACATCTTTAATCCTTCCACCAACAAATGAGTTCCTGGAGAATACACAAAAAAACAACTTTTAAAGTCATCATATAACACACAAAAACTACACACATGCAATAAATACACTTTAATTATGAACAATCTAACTAGAGATGACTTAAATTGGGCCATTTCATAATTTTAAAGAACTACTTTCTAGACTACAATGGGCTGGGTCTAATTCCGTACCGGGTTGAGACCTTATACGGTTTATTGCGTTGCAACACGAAACGGTACGGAATGGTACGGCCCACCACTGTTTAGTACGGATGAATTAAGTGTCATGTACTTTTTCACCGGTATAAATACTACCTTCTTGTTAAAAACAGACATATATATTTGCAGGAACATTTAATAAATGATAATTGCCATTTACTGACTGCAACTTTATATTGAAATGGCTCAGAATGCGGAGTCAGTGGTCGAGCTGCTTGATGACATGCATAGAAGTAAATTTATATTAATATCGTACTTCAATTAGTAACATTTTATGTTACATATTTTAGAAACATTGGATCGTGAAAATGGAGTAAATATGTACATCAAACGAAGTGTCTCATAAGTCTTGGAAACTGGCCCTTGAGTTATAATTAATTTACAAACTTTTTACATATTTTAAAACATAAACATCACGATAATTATTGTAATTGTAAGATGGACAGCAAATCTTAAAATTAAAGGAGGAGCAGTATTGATCAGCATTTTTCATTTATGATTACTATAGTCCATATCTAATCAGGTAAGAGAAGACAGACGAGATGGAGGACTAGAGAAGGGCTATTACGAAGACCGCTTCATGTTTGTATGAGGTTTTATGCCTTACTTGTTGAGGATCCAGCGTCCTTCAAGAAATACACTTTAATTGAACCTGATGTGTCTCGGGGTTCGGACGCGATTAGGCTGAATCTTCTCCGCCAAAATCATTGAACGCTGCAATTCGTTTTCTTGGTGTTATTTTCTTTTGAGGCATTTTGAAAATGAGCAAGCAAGAGGTTGTGGACGGATGTATTAGGTCCGTATAGATCCGTGGCAATTCGTTCTTCTCCGTATCTATACGTTCTTCTCCGTATCAGACCGTACTTACTCGTACTAACCCGTGCTTATACCGTAGCAGACCGTAGTGTATCCGTAGTGCGTCCGTCCTGATTCGTGTCGCTCTGTATCAAACCGTGTCGGCCCGTAACAATCCGTGTCTCTCCGGGGGCTTTTGGTGGTAAATCCGTCGGACTCCGTACTCATACCGTTGTGTGTCCGTACTGGAACCGTAGCGGATTACGGAATTTCACATTTCCGTAGTAATCCGTGAACGATTAGACCGTAGCTCTTCCGTGGCATTTTCCGTGAATATGTGACCGGGGCATAAGGAACAATTTAAAGAAACATGTGAATAATGCCCTTGTGTCAATGTTAATATAGTTTTTATCTACTATATAATCAAATTTATTTCAAATCTCAAAAAAAATAATGAAAGCTGTTTGTTGCTATATAGTCATGCCAAGATATAAAAAAGTCCTAAAACTTTGTAAGAAGAAAAGAAGTATATCGAGGAGAAAAATTGATGAAGATAAACACAACTGAACTTCAATTTAGCATACATTGTATTGTGTTTTATATCTATTTGAAGACCCTGTGTTAGGATATATCTGCACGCATGCACAATTTGTATACATATATTTCTCATTAGATGAACGGGTATTGCTAAATATTTAAAAAAATGATTAGTTATTCCTCGCTAAAAATATGCATGCCACATTATTGACACAAAAAATTGCAACCAAAAATGCTTGAAGTATAAGTCTGCAACCAAAATGTGCTTGAACAAGATATTTTTGTGTATTGAACGTTATCTTCGGACTTGCGAACTAAACCATTTGTACAGCATTGACAGAAACATATTTTGTTATTGTTAAATGCAGTTCATAACTTACACATTCAAATAAATTAGGAGAAAAACCGACCACAACAGCCACATGTCAAATTTCAAAATATCTACATGATCAGTTTATATCTTCAATAACTTCGTCAAAACAGAATCTAGGATGCTGAAACCTTTAACCGAGTGTGGCATATATATTGCATTATGGAATAGACATACTAATGAACTTCAAAATAACAGAGAAACCCACTTGCCTGTCTAAATTCGTTCACCCTATTCAAAAAATCACGCCGTGTTCGCCATTTTGTCAAGTTTGCAACTTATTCGCTCGCTTGAACCAAGTGTGCAACCACTTCACGTCCTGCCCCTTGATCATGTCGTCACATCATCGATTTTAAAATATAGTTTTGTAATTTTGTTACATTTTAACATGATTTATGGTGACATCGACTTTCTTATCCTAAAGAAGCAAAATTTATTTTGCATTTATTTTTGTCTGTTATTCCGTTTAGTTATGATATTCTTTTCATCCGTATTCAGATATTGCCCGGCTTCAGTGAAGATTATATTTTATAAATTTCACTAGTGGTTTATCAGAACATAATCATCTGATATATTACAGTAAAACACTGGAAAACATGAAATAATTATGGTTGTTACATAAGTTCAACGGTCTAGGAACATGCATTTCCTACTTTGTTATGCATCTTTTATATACGAGTTGACAATGTTTCTCTAGAAAATGTGAGAACAAATTAGAAAAATAAAAAAATATTAGTTTGTGAAAACCTTCAAGATCGGCCAAGACATTCAAATTGAAAATGTTGCAGAAGTCTGCTCATGGATGATGGTGTTTATTGCAAACCGCTGTCCACCCCCCTAGCACCGGCTTAAGCAGAATTCTACATTTATTATGTACGAGTGGTTCATTGATAAACATTTGGATATAAAATACATTTTTTTATTTACAATATTTTAACTTTCATTAATTAATTTATTATGACTGTATATAGCAAGATGACTGTCTTTTTCATAGACAAAGATGATAAAGAATGTATGCAATGCCCAGATGGGTGGATACAATACAAAGGGTCCTGTTATATGATTGTGGAAGAGAAACTATCATTTGATAAAGCACGAGTAAGTAAGAAATGAAATTGAGCCTTTTTCACAAATTCTTTTATTGAAATCTTTTTTTTTTAACAATTTAATTTTTTTTACAAGTCTTGCTGTGGAATGATATTTTATTGAATCAGTTGATTTATATATAATTTGTTAGAGTTTATTGTTTTAAAAGATGGCCATCACTAGAACTTCAACTTATGTCCAAAAGTTTAAAAGATAAAATGCATTGATCGTATGAAGCACTGAAACCTATTAAAATATTTAAGATTAAAAATCTATATTTAGAGAAATTCGTAACCTGATCTGAGTTAAACGTGTTTCCATTTTTTTTTACATTAGATCATTTTGTTCAATAAAAATAATTATTCTAGAAAAAACTAAGGGAGAAAGCGAATGGTCTAAAATACTGTGACTGGGGAAAACTATTTCCAGTCCCTTTTAGTAAAATATCGTAAGTCCCGTTTAAATGATAAATCAATCATGTTTATTTCAGGCCAACTGTCAAAAGCTTAATGCTGATTTAGTCCATATAGAAAACGCAGACGAGAACACGTTCATTAGAAACCACCTTAAAACATTGAAAGGTATGTAAAATAATTGGCTATTTCATTACTTGGTCAAAGGTGAAACCTTGATTTAAATATTATATTTTATGATTGAGAAGTTCGACGAAAGGAAAGAAAAATGAACCAAAAGTAGCCACATTAACAATCACAAGACCTCGTAACTTGCTATCTGATAGCTAGCATGCAAAAAGTATAATAGTATGTTTTTTATCCTGATCTTTTCTTTGTGAATACAGGGCATGGATGAAAGTATCAACATATGAACCGTGTCACGACAAAACCAACATAGCATCCGCGCAGTCTGATCAGGATCCTTGCTGTTCGCTTATAAACCCTAATACAAATAGAGAAACTGATAGCGAACAGCATGGATCCTGATCAGACTGCGCGGATGCGCAGGCTGGTCTGGATCCATGCTGGTCGCAAACCCACTATGTTGGTTTTGTCGTGACACGGCTCATATGTATAAACCGTATCAATTATTATGAACTGTGACAGCAACATGTTTTGTGCAGACCAAGAACATCTGACACATCTGACCGTTTGATCATGGTCTGCACTGTTCGATATTCAAAAAGTACACATTTGATTTTTCCAAACAAAAAAAATAAATAAATGAAAAAAATAAAGAACAGCAACAAAAAAAAAACTGAGAACAGCAACATAAAATAAACTGATGAATGATTTTGTTCAGACTGAAATATTGATAGATTTAGCGTTGTAAGGGTCAAAAGCCATTTATGTATGACCATAACTTATATGCAATGCAACCTGTAAATAAAATATGTTTGCTCCAATTGTTGAAAATAATTGAATTGATACACTTTAATCACTAAATTTTTTTCCTTGTTTCGCTCAATGGTCAGCTTGATTAACTTACTGACCATTAGACCAATGAGAAATATTAAAAGGGAGCGGTGGCCTAGTTGTTCAAGTGTCTGCCTCTCAACTTAGAGATCATGAGTTCGACACCTACTCAGGTAGCGACCATGTTTCTTCATATGACACCAGTACTGGTTGGTTCCAGGAAGCGGACTCGAAAGTGATTAATTTAAGTTGTAAGAACTTGTTCCGCAATCGAGCTAAAATAACTACGTTTAAACCGAGAAACATTAATTGTGCAATTGCGCTGCATGATGAAAATAACGACTTTGCTCAATATAATTCAATTATTATTTTGTTATTTTTAATTTAAATTTATTCATTTTTTTTGCCGGCAGGGGAGTCTAGAGATTTTTCTTTAAATAACTTGAAAGGAATTTTATGCGTATCTGAAAATCAATGAATCCAGTCCTTATTTGGATGTCATTTACAGGTATTTGACTTTTGGATTGGACTCACAAGACGCTGCCACAGAAGGTCTTTTCAAATGGGTTGATTGATAACTCTAGGGCACACTTTTACAGACTGGTATCCATCCCAACCTGATAAATGGCGGGAATAGAGAAAACTGTGTAACACTTTAAAAGCGATTTGGGAATATGCAATGGAATGACAGAGGATGTTTAAGTACTGAAAGAAATCTGTTTGTGAAAAGAAAATATGTTTTAAAACTAGATTAGAGTAGATTAACCATTTCAATATAAAATTCTCTTGACCATTATAATATACGGATACCCATGGAGCCGCGTCACGACAAAACCAACATAATGGGTTTTGCGACCAGCATAGATCCAGACCAGCCTGCGCATCCGCGCAGTCTGATCAGGATTTCCATCTGCTGTTTCGCTATCAGTTTCTCTACTTGTAATAGGTGGTTGGTAAGCGAACAACATGGATCTTCTGAACAGACCTGCGCCCGGGATGCGGCAGGCTGGTCTGGAATCCATGTTTTGGTCGGCCAAACCCAATTATGGGTTGGTTTTTGTCAATGAACGCGGCTCATATTGGCTCTCTCAATTGCAACTGAAAACTGAATTAATTATGACCTTGCGCCTGCGTTTATTTAATAGATATGAGACATCTGTTCTTGCAAAATTAAAAACACATTAGATGAAAATTTTTTTTATCAATCTTTCCATTTTGATTGTTTTAAAAAACAAATATTGGTCCAAAATCAAGCAGACAACAAAAAACACTTCCACGCCATTCTAAAATCAAAACGAACATTAAAATTCCCCCTCCCCAAATAATAAAGTGTAACTCTAATAGGAGAGTGTATAGAGACCGACATTAGCCACGGCTGATGCTATATTTTGTCTTTCCAAATGATTATCACTTATCTGTGTGCTGCTTAATATCAGAATTGGTTATCAAAAAAATGAAATGAAAAAACCACTTTGGAATTCACTCAAAATCGAGTTTTTCAATGTTAACACTTGGCGGTTACACATAATTTTAGTTGAACAATTGTTGTTTTGTTGGCATATTGTCAAGTTTAACAGTTTGAAAACTATTGCAGGAGGCTTTTTCAATGAAAAAGAGCCATTTTTCAAATGGCTGCTTTCATTGGAAAGCCTTCTTTTTACAAATTCAAACTGCTATGTTCAAAAATGGCTGTTATTCCTTGAAAAGACTTCTGTTACAAGTTCAAACTGCTATGAAATGCTTCAATACTGATGAAACTTGGCACAAATGTTGACTGGACCACAGCCTCTGTAACAGCATTTTTCCTTTTACTCCATGGCAATGGGGGATGTCTCAAATTGCAAAAAAATCCACCTATTTTTGCACATTGTTTTTACCCCAATCAAAACTGATTTCAAAAAGTTGCTGCAACTACTTTCAACAAATGAATTGAGAGATAGAGTAAAACGCTTTTGAGACGTAACGCTGTTTTCGAGCGTTGGATTACATGTTACCTCAACTGATCTGGCCGGATGCCATTTTTTTAGCTTCTCACAAGTTCAAACATTACATTCTTGACACACGTATCCCCCGCATGACGATCTCCCTTCACTGCTTACAACCTTTTTGATAAGGGGGCGGCGCCGAAAAAAAATGAATCACCTTTTTTCAAACCATCTACTTCTAAGGAAAAACAATGTTCCGGGCCTAACATATAAGGGCATTTTCTTCCATATTTCGACGGTTCTAAAGGGAAGGGGGGATGAAAAGCACGTGCAAAAAACACGTCTATTATGTTAGTTATTTAGCAAGTTTTTCCTAAATTTTACTTATTAACAAGCTAAATAACTGGGATTTATTTTATGAATTTAACCCTCCAAAATCACCCACCGCTTATAAAACTCCATTGTTTGGGATATTTTTTTAGGGCCGCACCCCGTTTTGACATTATCCCTTTTAAGCATGACTGGTTTCACGGCAATTTAAATGAAACATACAAAAATATCAGATTTTTTTATTTAATATTTTAAATCTATTTAAATTTCATTTCATTTCATTTTTTGAATGTGTCGCGAAATTCGAGCCATCAAAGGGGAGTAAAACCCATCCGGCAACCTTTTGAGATTTACCAGTGTTTCGCCCCTTTGTTCGCTTACAAAATGGTCGGAAACAAACCCCGAAATTATTCCTTTTCCTTTTTAAATTTGTAAAATTATTTTCTTAAATTTTTACAAAAATTTCATGTTTGCAAACGATTGCGGAAAACTGGAAAAATAATTTAATTAAGAATGATGTAAAGATGTATAAAAACTATCATAAAAAAGGTGTAAAAAGCGTTTTCATGCAATAGAACCAATTATAAAAAAACCGGATTGTAAAATAATGACCCCCCAATCAGTAAGGTCAGTGATTTTAATGATTTTTTTTTAAAGGCCCATAATGCCTCAAAAATGCTTTTTATTTTTATTTCTAACAAAAACCTTATTTTAACATTTTAACACATCCCAATAATTTTTTATTTTTCAAATTTTAATGAAAAGTAATTGTTGATGGACATTGTCTTAAACAACCAGCATGTGCATTAAACATTTTTTAATAACTTATAAAAAATAACCAAAACAAACCATTTAAACACAACAAAAATTATTCAATAATATTTGACTTATCCTCTCCACATGAATTTTCATTAATGGGTCAATTTTTTTGTTATCATTGTTTTATTGTAAATAATATATGCTTAAAATTTGGCAAACAAATGAAACGACAACTATTCAAAAACAGTGCTATAAAATAGATATTAAAAACCATATCGACACCCGTTTGTAATACTAAATTTATTTGCAATCACGTGACTCAGTGTCGTCTGCTACTTCCCTTACGTGCTGGTAAATTCCGAATGTCCATATAGAGCCTGAAATGAAATAAATAAATACATGACCACGCTTGAAGGATTTGACAATTTTAAAGTGTATAAATCTATATATTTTGCCGTCTGTGTAGTGTAAAATTAATTTTTCATATTTTGAAATTCGACTATTACAGAATACTTAGTAGTAAGTTGAAAAACGAGTGGGTCATGTGTAAAATTAATCTCCCCAAATCTTCTAAAAATAGCAGCGGAATAAATTTTTTTTATAAGGAATTTTTTTTTCAATTAACTTCAGCTATAGTTACTGAGTATTCTGTATGGAAAGTAAAAATACTGTCCTCTTTTCACATTATCCGTTACTTAAATAAATTTTAGGCATTCGGCTGCTACTTCTTCAATGATAAGCATTTAACTTCTCTAAAAACCATGACGTTATTAGATTATACATGATTGCCTTTCTGAAAAAACAAAAAAAAAACAACAACATTTTTTTCGTTTCTTGAGCATACTATGCCTTTTTTAAATAAGTCGTTTGACTGAATTTAACACTTTTTGACTTCTCTTCTCATGGGGAAAAATTGGTGAATGGCACCGGGACGTGCTTGAAACAACCAATCCCTTGGTAAAATGGTTCAAGATGCATGTACTGCAGATACAACAACCATCAAGTCCAGTCACCGTCCTTTCACAAAAGTATGCATTTAAAGATCTTAAGTGAGTGTTCGACTTAATGAATATGTTCCAAAAATTTGCCTGTCTAATACTATTAATAAGAAGGTCATTCTTTTTAATTGGAGAGATTTTCCATTGGTTCGGGCAAATGATGTTGAAAACTCTTAAGCTCAACTGTTATTTATTGGTA